GAGGAAGGATTAGTTTCAACGACCTAGTTCCACCCCTCATCAATAACTCAGATGAACCCTTATTGCCATGAGCGTTTTTAGGTTAATAGAGCTTAAATCCCCCGGGGTTAAGACGTATGTAGAACACACACGTTTTTTTTAGAAAAATCGAAGGAAGTTGAATGTGAGAAGAGAAAATAAGCCACTTGACAGATTTTAGGACTATCGTACCGTGACACGGTGCCCAGCGCTGTGACACGGCAGCATCTGCCGTGGCGTGGCAGTCAGAATATCTGACTGATGCCCTTTTTTCCTTCGTTCGCAATCAAGTTATTCAATTTTTCCTACGGGACAAACGTAAATGCGACGTTTGAACATTTATGCATATGCAAAAAATGCCAAATTAATCACAAGAATACTTTTTAATAATCTTTCAAGTCTCATCCACTCATCTTAATTAAATACCGATCACTCAAATTGATAAATAACCAAGAATCCTCCCCAGTGGAGTCGCCAAATTGTAGGCGTCGTTCAAAGTGCGCCTATGTTAAGCATATAGTGAATATGCTTGGCACTCATAGGAAGTGGGAATTGACACACGATTAGGGACACGATTAGGGACAAGAAAGTAGGGAGCCGCCAACAAGTTTTTAAGGAACTTGTAAACCGTTCACGGGTCATAAAAGGGAACCACGATAAAGGGACAACGATAGGCAACAACGATTGACCCGTGAAGGTTACACCCTATTCATAATCCATGAGATTACTAACTCCATATGGTTCGGAACCAAGAAAGGAGGATCGGGGATGATGGTACGAAGTGAGTCATGGAGTCACATTCGCCCGTATTGGCCTCTACTCGATTCTTATAATGAATATTGATTAATGCGATCTCTAAGGCATGCAAACAAAGATTCAATTTGCTCCAAACTATTATTATGCTAAATTGGTTGAATATTAATGCAACACATAGTTCTAAAATATCGTGATCACTTGATCAAACAACAAACAAGATTAATAAGGAACCTAAACCGGTCGTCCATATTATCTTATTAGGCGTAATTTTCAATTACATATTCCCTTTAAACATGCAATATAGTGATCAATAAATATTAATATAATAAACATTAATATTGGAAGCAATTTAACAATGAATCCAACAATATAAAATCATTAGAAAAATAATACAAATAAAAGGAACATGATTCTTACTTTGATTTTGTTTGCTTGCATCAATAAAACAATAAACGAGTTAGTAAATTCAAGGAAATTTAATAAAATAACAATTAAATTAAATAGAGTTCATTTTGGGCCAAACCCTCAAACAGTTCTACCTTTCACGCCTTGGTTTAAGGATAGAACCTCAAGTAAAGTACGAACTCCTTGGAGTGCTTAAGGCAGGAATTTTGACAAAATAAGGTAGGCTAGTGTTTAGGCTAGAGCATAGAAGAGAGAAAAGAGAATTAATTGGTGCCCCGTACATCAGAAATGAGGGGGTATTTATAGGAAAAATGAGTAGAGGGAACACACAGAACCCTAAAATGGATAAAAACCTTAAAAACACTGCCGCGACACGGCAAAAAATACCGTGACACGGGAAATTCTTGTGTGACGCGAGAAATATTTGACCTACGAGTGTTAAAACGCGTAAAGGGTTTACACGGAAAAGACACGGAGCTGTCCCTTGTCACGGCACTAGCACCGTATCACGAGAGATTATGCTGTGGCGCAGCAGTATATCCCGTGACACGGCACAGTATGCTTTGACGCGGTAGACTCTGTTTCCCTTTTTCCGTCCAAATACATTTTTGCCCTAATTACGTTCAGCCTTTTTAATTTCCGATTCATATTTTCGGGCTATTTCTGGTTTATTATTTATTAATTGCTAAAATAATAATAAAAAATGAAAAATGAATAAAAAGGTTTGGGCCAAAATAAAAATTGAACTATACTTTGACTAAACATTAAGACTGATATGTTGACCATTTTATGAACTGAACTTAATTAAATGTGATTAACCCGACCAATAATGGCGGTGAAAGATTGTTCATCATCGGGTTTGGTTTCGGGGAAACATTTTTAGGTGTCTACACTTTCCAAAACGACCATGGTCGTGAATTTGATAATGATCTATTTTTTGTGTCAAAAATGGAATGATTTTTTGCTTTTCTTGTCCACACACATCATCTCAAAATGGCAAAGACGAACACATGATTAGTACTTTAAATAATATTAAACGCACCATATTATTTCATGCTTCCCTTCCACCGTCGTTTTGGCCTCATGCCTTAGAAACGGCCACCTATCTCCTTAACATCCTACCCACCAAAATTCTCAAATCAATTACTCCGGCTCAAGCTTTATTTGAGGTTGTTCCATCTTATAGCCACCTTCAGGTTTCTAGGAGTATCTGTTTTCCAAAATTGTGTGCTACTACTCCACATAAGCTAGCACCTCGTTCTTCGCCATGTGTGTTCTTAGGATACCCAGCCAAACATAGGGGATATCGGTGCTTAGATCTCACAACAAATAAAATGATCATATCAAGACATGTCACTTTTGATGAAAATACCTTTCCTTTTCAAAATCTAGCCAATTTTCAATTAACTTACTATGATTTTCTAAGTTGTGATGATCCGTCACCATTATGGCAACAACATGCATTATTGCTTGTTACTCCTTCCTCCGCCCACACACCAAGGCAGGCCACTCCACAAGATGGCTGCGGTGCGTCACAACCAGCCATAGGCGAGCTGCAGCCAGCTGCCGCTGGAAATCCAGTAAGCCAGGCAGCAGCCCTGACTACGGCCAAGCACTGACCTAGCGCAAGCTGGTATTCCAGCGGGCCAGGCAATCGCACGGCCTAGGCCTGGCAGCCCCCAGCACACTTCGCCAGTCTAACCGCACACACCAGCATCCCCATCTCCCTCTCTACATTCTCTTACCCTCACCTACACACCACCGCCACTTCGAGGGCATACACCACTCACTCCTAATCCAATGTCATTATCTCCATAAATGCAAACGAGAGATAAGTATGGAATATACAAACCCAACCCAAAGTTTGGCCTTCTTACCACACCCGCTCATGCCACTTATCAATTTTTGCTTCTAAAAACACATAGACAAGCCCTCTCTGACCCAAATTGGAATGCTGCAATGCATGATGAATATAGTACTTTAATCGAAACAGGGACATGTGATTTGGTACCTAGGCTTACGGAGGTGAATATTGTCAGGACACCTGCCCCAATGTACGTCAGTACTTTTGCAGATGGGGTTTATCATTGTTAAAATGGATAATTCTTTATTTGATTTCCTCCACAGGAATGATATAGCATATTTGCTACTATATGTTAACGATATTGTGTTGATTACATACTTAGATAAACTACGTGAGAGTATTATTTCTCACTTACGGAAAGGGTTTTCGATGACTGACTTAGGTCCTTTGAATTATTTTCTGGGTATTGTTGTCACTCGTATTCCTTCACACTTGTTTCTGTCACAGCAAAACTATGCATAGGAAATTTTTGAGCGTGCAGGTATGAGCAACTGTAAACCTGCGCAGTCTCCAGTGGATACTCAATCCAAACTCAGTGCAGATGTTGGACCTAAGTTTCATGATCCAACACTTTATCGCAGTCTTGCAGGTGCATTACAATACCTCACTTTTACTCGCCCTGATATAGCTTATGCAATTTAGCATGTTTGTTTATTCATGCATGATCCTAGAGAGGCCCATTATGATGCATTGAAATGTATTCATTGATCATGGGTTACATTTATATCCTTCACCTCCTACAAACTTGATTACTTATACTGACGTAGATTGGGGAAGGTGTCTTGACACTCGACGCTCCACTTCTGGATACTGTTGTTTTTTGGGTGACAATCCTGTTTCTTGGTTGTCTAAGTGTCAGCATACTCTTTCCAAATCAAGTGTAGAGGCAGAATACAAAGGTGTCGCAAATGTTGTTTTCGAGTCTTGTTGGCTCCGTAGTCTTCTTTTAGATTTACATTGCCCTCTTCGGAAGGCCACACTTGTTTATTGTGATAATGTCAGTGCAATTTATTTATCTCATAATCCGGTACAGCACTAACGCACCAAGCACGTTAAAATGGACATTCATTTCGTTCGAGAAAATGTGGCGTCGGGCATGTACGGGTCTTACACGTTCCTTCCCGGTATCAGTTTGCAGACATTTTCACGAAAGGCCTACCTCGACAACTATTTTTGGATTTTTAATCCAGTCTTAGCGTACGTCCTCCTCCCGCTACGACTACGGGGGTGTGATAGAATATAGGATTGATATTCTAGATATTCTGTTATAGTAAGATATAAGTATGTATTTTATAATTATCTTTTGAGATTTCCTAACGAAATTAGGTCTCATACTTGTAACCTTATATATTGAAATCAATGGAAAACACTCCAATATGAGGAGTTTCATATTATCTGACACTGAGGATGCCAACAATTCATATATTGGATTATTGATTGGGACATTGATCATGCAAAAACGAGCTTAATGTTAAGCAATGAAATTCCTTTAATCGAATAATGTTCCAAGAAAGATGTCACTTTTCTTATTGTAGTACTCTGTATTGGCTAATAAGATTAGTTGTCTCAATACGCAACTACTTATATTAAGACCGAGATGAAAAATTGATACATACAAGTACTTGTATAACTTAACTATTATCGAGAGTACATTTGTGGAAAAAAGTCATAATCTTCATTTAATTGTTGGAAATTGGAATAGCTCGACAACTGTTTTCTATTTGAGCAATTGGAGTATATCCTTATTGAGTAAGCATCACATGTTCTACTGATCTCTTACAAAAAAGAACTGACAGTAGCTTTTAACACTCTTTATAACAGAATCCAGAAAAAAAAATTCTGACTTATTATTGAAAACAGAAGATCACAGAAATTCTGTTCTAATATATACTTTAAGACTATAAATGATCAGACACCAAGGAGAGAGTAAATCCAACTAGATTACAAGTATGCAAAATTTAGATGGAAAAAAGAAGTGTTGCTATTTTATTTCCTGAGATTTAAGAACTCACTTTGCAGGTTTAGTAACAGGTAATTAACATATAATCATATCATTACATTGACATTACAAGAGAGGAAAAATAAAGTAAGAAAAAAAAAATGTTGTCCTCTAACAACCGCGATCCAAAATAAATCTCTGAACATTAGGTTATAACAAAATGAAACGAATAGTACATAATCGACTTGATTTTAGAACACCTTGTAAGCTTATTAACAGATAGGCAGAGGAGTTCCATTCCACTCCTCAAGGCAAGCAAGAAGGGGATCGATGATCTTACCCTCACACAATGCATTGAATACTTTGTCACATTCTTCTCCTGGAGATACCACCTTTTCTCCTGTCAGCAAGTTGGTCTGAAGCTCTTCGCGGACAAACTTGTACAATGGGTAAGACCGGCATTCATTAATCCTGTTTGGAATGGCAGAGTTACCACTCTCGTAAGCAGCCCTTGCTGCCTCTACCTCTTTAGGAAGGCGTGCCTTAAGCTCCTCCTCGAAAGCTCCAATTTTCTGGAAGATAGATGTGCTCACGTTCTTTTCACTGTCACCATTAGCGATAGCCTGATCAACAAGGACCTGTCGGAGCTTCTGCATCAAGGGATAAGTGCAGCTGCAAGGATCGTCAGCATAAGCAAACACGTATTCTCTTTCGACTACTCTGATGAGCTCCTTCTCACAGAACCTTCCAGGGTGGAGCTCTCCATTGGCACCGGTAATCAGGACTCTTCTGCATACTTGGCTTACGGTGTTCTTCACTGCGTGCTTGACATTCTCTTCCAAATGCCTTAAGTCAATAGCCTGGCATAGTGCGACAAGGAAGGTAGATGACATGAGCTTCAAGATATCTACTGCCTCTTCAGTCTTGCGAGCAGAGATGAGACCGAGGGAGTTCACATCCTGGTTGTGTTGCTCTGCACTTTGGACATGGTTAGTGACTGGGTTACCCAAAAATTGGAGCTCTGAACAGTAAGAGGCCATTGCAATCTCAGCACCCTTAAAACCATAGTCCAAACTGGGGTCCCTGCTGGCTGTAAGGTTCGATGGAAGACCGTTGTTATAAAAGTCATTGACAAGTTCAGAGAACTGAGCAAACAATAGCTTTCCGATGGCAGCAATAGCCAACCTAGCATTGTCCATGGAAACTCCGATTGGTGTTCCCTGGAAGTTTCCACCGTGCAAGGCCTTGTTACGCGACACATCAATAAGTGGGTTGTCATTAACAGAGTTAATCTCCCTCTCAATAGACTTTGTAGCCCAGCGGATGACCTCAATCTGTGGTCCTAGCCATTGGGGTGATGTCCTGAGAGCATATCTATCTTGTTTGGGCTTCTGAAGTGGGTCCAACTCGTGCAACGCCTTAGCAGCCTTCATGTATGAGCTACCATCTAAGATGTGCTCCATAATAGCTGCAGCCTCAATTTGTCCTGGGTGATGCTTCAATTTGTGAGTCAAGTGATCAGTAAACTCGGGTTTACCATTCATGACTTCAGCAAAAACAGCTGATATAACCTCTGCAAGCACGGCAAGGACATTCGCTTCAAACAGCACTATTGATGCCAACCCTGATCCAACAGCAGTACCATTTACCAAGGCCAAACCCTCCTTGGGCTGAAGCTCAAAGAATCCCGAGCTGATTTGTGCCAACTTGAAGGCTTGTTCCGCGTTAAGGACCTCTCCATCAGGGCCAACAGCCTTAGAGTTGGGTCTTCCTGTTAGCAGACCAGCAATGTAAGAGAGTGGGACAAGGTCCCCTGAGGCAGTGATTGTTCCGCGAAGGGGAAGACAAGGTGTAATGTTACTGTTGAGGAGGCTGGTAATAGCCTCTAAGATTTCGAAACGGATGCCTGAGTATCCTTGGAGAAGGGTGTTGATTCTCACTAACATAGCTGCCCTAGTTGCTGTGTGAGGCAATATGTGGCTTGTTTCCTTTCCATTGCCAAATACTCCAGCGTTCAAAAATCTGTTACAACATAAGATAATTAGGCTCTATGCGATTATTAAACATTAAATTAATCAATGCACATGATTTATCATATACGAAGTATTATAAAGCTAATAAAGTATCATTTCAGAAATTTTGTTATAACCGTTAACTTCAACTAGGATTATTAGTTCAATTGTGGGGCTATTGACTACTATACTGTCCCAATTATGTACTCCATCTATCATTTCAAGCTTACACAAATTGACTTTTCCTTGTATTTTAAATATCATTTTTAAACTTCATAAAATTATAAAAATATAAAGTTTTAAATATAGGCGACGAATCAAATCTAACAAAATTACACAGACAACTTGACAAGATTAGTGGAAATAAGTAATGAGAACTTTCTTTGAAGGTTTGAGGGGAAGGAGAGTAGTAGTGATTGGATAATCACAAAGGAAGTAACTTTCGGGACCAATCCTTTTAATTAAGAAGACTATTCAATACGGAGTAGTTAGTTATATTTCCTGCAGTGCCCATTTATATTGTCGGCGGGGATAACTATGCAATAAGTGAGTATTGGTGGGGGTATATTTGTCATTTTACAGTTCTAGAGAAAAGGGTGGAAAACTAAAATAACGAGTATAACGTGTTGCCGGCTTTTATGTAATAATAATAATAAGTAATAATGGTTTCTATAATACATTCCATGATAATGATATGATGCGTACCAATTTGGCAATCATACATCCAACAGTCAAAAAATCCACCTCTATAATATGGCTGATATTTTGATATTTGATGAGGAGTTGTTGGATGAAAGTGGTTATATATATATAAATAATAAGCTTATGTAAAAGAACGAGTTATTATTGGTGTGAGCTAATCATGCATAAAAGAAATTAATTCAACTTTTCAGTGTAAGACTTGTCCTCACGATACGAGTTTTTCCTCATAAAATTAATAAACTTGCGTGTTAATGTACTCTAATATGTCTTTTTAAATATTAATATATAAAAAATATAGATATATATAATTGTTTAAATTTTATAATAAGTAGTCAAATTGAATTTTTTTATTGTTTCATTTATATTTAATATTCGTATTTGATCCAGTATGGCTCAAGTATTACCTAATTTCAACGAAAGACTAGACCATAAGGATAATTTCTTGGTGTGGCACTATTGTCAACTTCAAAAGTAGGTAAACATCATGCTAACAAAAAAATTGAGGGGGGTTGGTGAATGTGTGAAGAATATTATTTCATGAGAATAACATATCTTGTATCTTGATCTAATAAATCCTAAGATGATTTATAAATTGATAAATTTTATGTAGAAGTTTGGTATTTAAGTTGGCAGAATTTTGAGGGAACAAGTGTTTTAAATTTTGGAATTTTGTGAATCTTTGAAGTTTAAACTTACGGGCCATATACCATATGTAGAAGTTAATTCCCATTTAGTTAATTCAATTATATGATTAGTCTTTATAAACAAGTAGCTAAGCAAATTGACCTACTATTAGGAGTTTCAACCAACGCTTAACAAACAAATTTGACAAGTCTTTTCAATACTTTCATAAATAAAGAGGACTTAATGATACTAATTTATCGAGCTTTATCTAGTTATCTTGAATTAAGGTTTTTTTTTTTAAAAAAAATTAAGTAATTAATTTATTTTTTTAGAAAGTCATAAACGACAATGATTGTAGCCAAAATTTATATTCCAAGAAGATTTTCGATAGTGGGGTGCCACCATCCATATGATTCCAATCTAACTGGCATCCCACCGTTTGATCACCTTCATTCGATCAGCTATATTGTTTACTAACTTTGTCAACTCTGGACTATACAATGTAATAAATTGCACATGGTTTCCAACAATTTATTATACAGCGTTAATCTGATGGCTTCAACAATTTATTATACAGCGTTAATCTGATGGCTTCAACAATTTCATGCACTACTAGACACAATTAATCAGACAAATCCGCCATCTATTGAATTTATATACATAAACTATTATTAATTATTGATTCTATATCATGTATTCATGAGTTGGATATCATAACTTACACATGCATTGCGACATTTGAAAATTTGTGTACAACCTACGTCTCCCTCGGTCTCCTCCTATGATGGACTGATGGAGGTCCGTTCAAGCTTTTACTATCCATTTTTAGTATGATATAAAGTACAGAGTATAATTTTAGAGTATGTATATCAAGTTATTATTATGATTAATTAATATACACCTATACAATTATACGTTTCATAAAAAATAAAAAAAAATATTATAAGTAGGATGAATTAGTAGAAATTAGTTATAAGACCGTCCAACGAAATTCACCTATAATTGGATCTACCCTTTAATCTCATGAAAATGACGAGTCAGCAAATAATTATTACTGCAAGTCGGTCGTACTCCAACATAAAATTAATTATGAAATTACTCTTATGATCTTTTTGAAGACCGTGTGTTCTGCAATAACACTACAAAATTCTTTGTCCTATGTAAACTGTTGAAATTAAAATACTCATTTTTATTTAAAAAATATTTATACCAAGGAAATATAAAAAGATTTTTCACCATTTTTGCATGATTCAAGGGTCCCACAATTTTAATGTACGAAATTGATGTAACGTAAGAAAAAGTAAGTACACCAAATAAGATCTAGTAATCTAGTGTTAAAAACTTAAAACGAATAAACCCAAATTCATAATTCTAGAATTTTTTTGGTGACCAACATCCATTCAAAAAAAATTAAAAAAAAAAAATTTGTTGTAAATAATACAACGGAGGTAGTAATAAAATTAGCGAGAAGAATGAGTAATTTGGTTACCTTATAAGCTCCTTTTGAAGCGCACCACCTTGCTTAGTTCTCCGGTGAGAAGTAGCACCAAAACCAGTGGTAACACCATAACTATCAGTACCTTTACTCATACTATCCATCACCCAATCACTACTAGCTTTGACTCCGGCACGAGCCGACTCAGCGAGCTCTACCGATGCGGCCTTCGCATCGGTGGAAGCCGCAACGGCAGTCACTTGAGCAACCGTTAGTGTTTCACCTCCAAGACGAACAGCCGGCTTACGATAATCCTCAACCATCCTCTTCACTTCTTCGAGGTGGCTGCCGGATACGGCTTCGGCAGCCCTTCCCCAGTACAATGGGTCCTCGTACTTGACTCCGCCACTAATGCACAAACCATTGTCAGGTGATCCGCTCTGGTGGTTCTCCATAATTTATCTTTCGGATTTTTGTAAATGTATGTAAATGCACAAATAGTAACAGAGGACGCCGAAAAGAAGAGGAAGATGATGGGAGGAATTTAAGAGAGTAGTTGTGTGGTATGATGGAATATGTAATGTAATGTAAGGAAAATAAATTGATTTGTTGGGAGGAGAAAGGATGTTTGGGCTATATAAATAGAGTTTAGAGAAATGAGAGAAAGGGGGGAAGGTGTTGGGTGTGGTAGGTAAGGAGAGTGGTGGGCCGATAAAACAACAAGGCCTAAAAGAGTCCATAATTTTTAATTAAAAAATAAATTAAATATTTAATTTTATGAAGAAGGGGTTGGTTGGAAGAAATTATGACCGTTGATTAATGAGTTAGATTATATCTATCCAACGGTGGAAGATGGAGAGTGGACCATCTCACTAGGAAATGATGGGGTAAATTCAAGAGAAGGGTTGTTGAAGTATGACTGTATGTTATCCGCCCACCCTTAAATTAGTCAAACATGGACAATTTAGTTTTTATTCATTTTTTACAAAGAAGAAGATGAATTAGTCTTGACTAAGTTTTAAAATAATTGTTGTGTAAAAAAACATTGTATATTGGTTGTATAGTGACTAAAAAATGATACTCGTAAGTTACTCTTATATAGATTATAGTTACCTAATAGAACTAATATCTAAATATATTTTATGTGAAATTAACATATTTTGCTTATTAAACTATATATTAAATGACCTAATAAATTAAATTTATATTAGGTCTACCAAAAGAAGTTAAAAAATATTGTAAGTACAGGTGTCAATTCGAGTATTTGGGTCAAGTTGGTATAGGTCGAGTCTGTCTATTTTAAAGTTGAGTCATGCTAAATTATTGTGTCATGCTAAATATTTGAATTAGTTATTGTTCAAATCATATTGGATCAGGTCAGATACATCTCCAATCCTAAAGATTATCGATGTACATATATTATTGTATATCAAGTTTACAACAACAACAACAACAAAAAAATAAAACAAAATAAAATAAAAATAATGGTTTTTCTAAGCTATGTCCCCCAAGTTCTTCGGTTTCTAAGTTGTACTCATGCATTTTCAAAGTTATAAGTTGTGCCCTCCACCTCACGATATTTTATCAACAATACCCTTTGACAGCCATATTCGTTAACGAAAGTTAAATTATTTTATCAACAATGATGTCGTGGCGTTATTAATTTGACACGTGTCCCGTTCTAATTGGTTTAACACTTTAAAAAAAATTAAAAACTTAGAAAATAAATTAATAATAAAAAAAAAAGTTATTGTTAATAAAAATTAGTTAGATTGAGGGCACATATTAGACGTTTGAAAAGACATATGCACAGCTTCAAAACCGAAAAAGTTTGGGTGCATAACTTAGAAAAACACAATAAATAATTAGTCTTTAGGGAACTAGTAAATTAGTAATTATAAAAAAAAAAAAAAAAAAAAAAAAAAGGACCCATCATTATATCGGTCTATCCAAATGGGTTTTGGTAGGTGGGAAAATAAACTTTGGAGAAATGTTAGTTTGGTGAAGTTCTCATTAAGCACTAGGAAATTTGGACTGTTTTTTCTCCACAAACTAGGGGGCCATGACATTTTTGTGGGGTTAATTGAACCTGTGGATACTACCTTTTTGGTGAGCGTGGAAACTTATGAATAGCGCATTTTTTTCATTTCATTAATGTTAAGAGGCATATTGTGAATTAAGTGCATGAAATGGGCGAAATGTTTTGTATGTAATGTAAATGATCACACAAGATAGCAACCTATGCGTTGTTCGATCTAGTGGATAAGGTGTGTCGATTTTGGTGGTAAGATCTTGGGATTAATCTTCATTATAAGTATGTGAAATAACAGTGGAGCTAAGGTTTGTCTTATCTTTTTGACTTTCAAACTCTCGACTAGTTTATACGTACTATAAAATTTAAGTTGCAGAATTAATATATGTATTTGTTTAGTGTATTTTAGTAATTCAGTTGTCCTAAAAAGGCATAATCAACAAAAGTTATCACTGAATTATAAGATTGTAGATTAAATTGAAAGTAAGTGAATTTGATCAAGTATCAAAGCCATTTTCACGGAACAATATTCGAGTTCGTTTACTTTGTAAGTTTAATTATATTGTTGCATTGCTTAAACAAAGTCAGAGATTACTACGTATAAGGGGTTACTAATAAAATAATAAGTCTACAAAGAGTAAAGGCTAGTCCAAAATGGCTGAAATGGATTCAAGCTCTAACTTTCAAAGTCCAAACTAGAGTCCAAACTAGTGTTGGAAATCTATATACTTCTTTAATTACTTATAGTATCCTCATAAATTTCAACTTATGCAATCACAAATTTATAATCTTGGATTGTCAATTAAAAATCCTCTTAGATTTAATTATCAAATAATGCCACTTTGTTGTAACTAGTAATTAACGAAGATAGTATATACAAAAATAAATAAATATATAAATAAATAAAAGTGATTACTAGTTTAGGTTTAGTAGAATTCCACTTTTTTTACATTTTGTGAAAAACTACCTTATAAAACACTTTTTTTTTTTGCGAGAAACTACGTAATTAAAAAAATATTGTAAGAAACTACCTTATAATAGGGTAAATGTTGTAAGAGACTACCATTGGTCGAAAATTCACCGTTGACTTTCATTTTCCAGCGTTGACCATATCACGTGCCAATCACGTGACTTTTAATTCACCATATCCCTTCTTTTTTTCTTAATTGACACGTGATATGGTCAGCGCCGGAAAATAAAAATAAATGATGATTTTTCGACCAAGGGTAGTTTCTTACAATACTTACCCTTTTATAAGTTAGTTTCTTATAAAAAAAATAAAAAATTATTACGTAATTTGAGAAAAAAAAGTGTTTTATAACGCAGTTTTTCACAAAATGTCCTTTTTTTTTATTTGGTGTTTAGAGAGCCACAAGGACGGGTAATGAAAATCGATCTCAGTATCTATTGCAATCGGAAAGAACGCTCTAACCATTTGAACTATACCTCACCCTCAAAATTCCTTCGTCTCTGTGTATTAAATACTCCATACTACGTAATTGATTTACTATCTGTCCAAAAAAAAAATGATTTACTAGTTTCACATTGTCTTATTTTCTGGTTGATATGGACGACATAATTTGAACTAAAACCAACCTATTAGGCTACTGTTAAACTAATTCGATGGCAACTCACAATCTCACATCACTTTGGTAAGATCTGATTTACATGATAGGTAGTCAATTTAATCAACTAAGGGTTTATTATATTAACCTGATTTTCACTGATTTGAACTTATCTTAACTAATCATAATTTACCTGAATTTATCTGAATTATTATTGTAATTTATACTTCGAAAACCCTTATTAATACTTATTAAATCAGAAATGAACTAATTTGAACTTATTACACCTGAAATAAGTGAAAATAAGGTGAACAGAACAATTCTCAAATAAGCATTGTAAGAAAAAGTTCAAAATAATAATGAATTTTTCACCAAATACCCCTGAGTTATTTTTTTTATTAACCTACCCATGGAAATTTTCAAATTCACCATCTACCCCTGGTTTAACAAAAATGTCACCATATATCCAAATTACTAACGGACCTTAATCTTGTTAGTCACTAGGGTTAAGTATGCCACGTGACGACATCTTATTGGTTGTCTTTTTAATTAATTAAGTTAAAATGTACTATATACACATTATATTTAGTCGCGTTCATCAAATCTACATATACAATAATAACCTTATATCTTATCCACCAACAAATGATTGAGTATACAACACAAATGTATCGACCAAGTAAGGATATTAATAATTTTATACAAATAAAATATGTTTATTAAGATTTATAAGAATAAAAGACATAATTCATCCATTGGAGTTATGAATATTAGGCCCCATTCATTTCATCTTATTTTTGCTGGAATGAAATTATTTTTACTGATTTGAAATTATTTTTGCTAAAATGAAATTATTTTTACTGAACTGAAATTATTTTTGTTGAACTAAAATTATTTATATTGATTTTCTATTATATTTTTCTTTAAGTAGTTTACAGATTTTTACTGAACTAAATTTATTTGTACGAAATTAAAATGTTTTTTTTAACTAAAATTAATTTTATTGAATTGAAATTATTTTTACTAAATATTATTTTCTTAAGGTGAAGTGAATAGAGCCTCAATAATACCAAATATATTATTTGCAAAGAAAATAATTAAAGAGCGACAAAATAATGAATGATATGCTTGTAATCGAATTAAAATTAGTAAGGATAGTGATTAAATAAAATATTGTCAACAATATATGGAGGATACATACATTGTTAATTTATATTGAGTACAAAAAAGTGGCATAAATTCTAAATTTATTAGAAATAATTCATTCTTATGTACACTAAATAAATTAAAAATATTATGAATTCAATAAAGAAAAAGTTTTCCAAAAAGTGATATTATTAAATGTATTTTTAACTTATATAATATATATAAGACAAGCAAATTTTACAATGACACTTGTCATTTAAACCTAGATTATATTTTTGGAAAAATAGACGTGATGCATGACGAGGGGAAAACTAGGTCGTTATCTAATCTTCCCTCGGCCAAACTAAATTTATAAACACTTAACAAACCCTAATACGAGTATAGAGGCAAGTCAAGGGTCGAACCCAAAGGAACGGTAATGTTCAAGCACTTTCAATTATGCGCCTAAGCTAGGTCGAAGACGAAGGTAAGAGAGAATACTAACAACTAACAAAACAAGTAACCAAGGAAATAAAACACTAGGAACGGGGATCAACAAGTAATCATGTCAATTGCAACAACTTGGGAAGAGCATGCCAATCAAAGGTTGTGAGGACTCATGATAAGAGCAATCAATAGGAATCAAAGAGCTATCTCCTAATTGTTAAGCTAGGGTTCACTATGAATAACAAACTAAGAGAATCACAATAAAAACCAATCGATAATTGCAATTCCTAAATCAATTGTTCATGTCATTAGCAATTACAATGCAATCTAGCATAATTATCAAGGCCTAATTCAATTATACACATGCAACCCTTCACTAATCACTTTAATCTCAACAATCAATCAACACAATTCCCAAATTAATCACAATTAATCAATCATACAAGTTTCACCCAATTC